TCTGCTCCTCCTCCCCCTCTTTCATGCGCTCTCTCGACTCTCTGGGACCTCCCATTAGCCTGCCTCCCGTGATGCCAACGGCAACCCATCAGCTGACCTCACCTCCTCCAGCTATGACCCCGCCCCCTCCAGAGTTAACCCCACCCCCAGCCCAGCTGCTGGGCTCTGATGATGAGGAACAGGAGGACCCGTCTGATTACTGTAAAGGTGAGAATTTATCAGAGAAACCTCTGTTCATACTGGATCCCTGCAAGAGTAAAGATCTGACGTGGGTTTAAAATCAAATAAAAGCTCTCGTTTCTTCTTTCCATGCGCTCCAGGTGGATACTACCCTGTGGATATTGGCGATCTGTTTAACGGGAGGTACCACGTGGTCAGGAAGCTAGGCTGGGGACACTTTTCCACCGTCTGGCTCTGCTGGGATCTGCAGTACGGCACACATGATGTTTTGAAGACAGTTTGTTGGCTTTTTGCACAGTTTCTGTTGTCACATGATCTGAATGTGTGTCTGATTCAGGAAGAAGCGTTTTGTGGCGCTGAAAGTGGTGAAGAGCGCTCCTCATTACACTGAGACGGCCCTGGACGAGATCAAACTGCTGCGATGTGTGAGTGTTTGCACTCTTATGCTTTCTCTAAACCACGGCAACAACGTGGGCTGTGGCTCAGGTAACCAGTCTGAGTCTGTCTGTCCCTCCAGGTGAGAGACAGCGACCCCTCTGACCCCTACAGAGAAACCATCGTCCAGCTCATTGATGACTTCAAGATCTCTGGAGTCAATGGAGTGCGTATCCTTTAACCAAGTTTTCTAATTTCTTTTTTAAAAGATTTATTTTTCCGTCTTTCAGAATGACGCTACATGCTAATTAGTGGTCAATATAAAAAACGACCCCCTTGTTTGTAATTTGAAAGTTCAGTCGCTGCTGTGGAGCTAGCTTCAGCATTTCCCATGTAGCTTTTTCATACTGGAAAGCTGACCAGTCGCTGTTGTTGTGATTCATTGAATCATTCAGCGGCTGTGCCACAGTCTGGCCCTGCAGTGGGACAGACATGAAGACCTGTGTTATCCTTTCATTGTCCGTGGATATACACCACAGTGTTTCGGATCGACACAATCCTGAGCCCTGTTACTGCAAATGTGAAAAGTCACAGGTCTTTCGTTGCACAGTTGTGAACAGGAATCCTTCCTCTTCGCCCTTAAGGTCGGCAGATTAAAGACATCGAGGAGAAGAAGAAGAAGCTGAGAATGAATTAAACTCTTTGCTGTACTTTCCTGATTATTATCAATTAAGAATATTTATATTTGTTGAGGTATTTTAAGGTGGTGTTGTGTAAATCTACGCGGGCTGACGACATCATATCAAAGCAAATCTGCTGGTTCTGTTCTGGAGATTCACCAGCACACGAAGAACCGGTTAGCGAGCCGCTATACGAAGCTCAGCGAGGCTGCAGAGCAGGACAGATCCATCCGCGAAGGAGCTGATTATGTTTTTCCATTAGTTTTTACCAAGTAGACTTGGTACTTGTGTGGTACTGTTTAATAATTAATTTTAGAAAGAGTGGGCTGTTAGTTTCCTCAGCCGTTCTCAGATGTCTGTATGGTTCTGGAAGTTTTGGGCCACCAGCTCTTAAAGTGGATCATCAAGTCAAACTACATGGGACTTCCTCTGGCCTGTGTCAAGGCCATCATCAGACAGGTAGCGCATGCAAACAGAGATCTATACAGTATATATACAGTGGCTTGGACTTGCTGACCTGCCCGGACTCGGCTGTGCGCTTGCAGGTGCTGCAGGGTCTGGATTACCTCCACACCAAGTGTAAGATTATCCACACTGACATCAAACCAGAGAACATCCTGCTGGAGGTTGATGAGGTTTACGTCAGGAGATTGGCAGCTGAAGCTACTGTCTGGCAGAGAGCTGGAGCCCCACCCCCTTCTGGATCATCAGGTGATCAGCTGCTATGTGATTGGTCGGAACTAGGAAGCGTTAGTGTCTCTTATTAAGTGTTAGGAACCTGCTAATGAAGCTTTTGTCAAGTGTTTTCCAATCAAAGTGAGAAATAGAAATGTTTAATGCTAAGACGTGTTACACACAGTTACTGGGAGCTGTGGTTTCCACTCCATCCAGAGAGACATCTACCTGCCTGTCTGTCTGCTTTCTGAGCCGTCTCCTTCTCCTTTCTTACACAGCTCTAACTGCACTGTTTCTCCTGTCTCTCTGTTTTCCTCCTTTTCTTCTTCCTGTTTCTGCCGTTTCCTCCCTGTTTGTCTGTCCCTGTGTGTCTCTCTCTCTAGTTAGCACGGCTCCCAGGGATCTAGAGGTAAGTGTCCAGATGTGATGCCTACTGTATTCAAGTGCAACCTCTAAACACCTAGGTCAGG